CGGCGTCTCAGTATACCGCGAGCAGCAGCTTGCGGTATACTGAGCTTAGGGTGACGGGAGGACGCTAGTTTGTGTCCTCCTGTTACCATAAGGAGAACTATGGGGAAAAGTGTTAACCCCACAGTTTTCCTTTAAGCATTTTGTAACAAGTGTTTTCTATCCGGCATTTTAAAGAAGGATTGACAGAGTACTATGGGGGGAATTTATCAAAACTGGAGCAGATTTGCATGACAGCCAATCAGCTTCCCTCTTTTATTTTCGAAGCCTAACTCAACAAAGTGAAGAGAGAAGCTGATTGGTTGCCATTGGCAACTGCTCCAGATTTTGTCTGCTCCAGTTTTCATAAATTAGCCCATATGAGTTATCTAAAGAGACAGCAGGGCAGTATATGTTTCCTTTCAGGCACTCTGTCTCTAATTGAAACCTCCGACAGAGGGGTTATGAGAGAAAGAAAGAAAGAAAGAAAGAAAGAAAGAAAGAAAGAAAGGGGAGGAGTCACTGCTGATGCTGGAAAACATTTTCAATCAGCAAAATGTTGCAAAGTTGAAAGGTCCGCAACATGGTTTGCCTATAAATGATTATTGTTCTATCAAATCTTGTCAAAAGTAGATTTTTTTTTAAACTAAATTTATAATTATAATGTTCTTTTAAATCTAAATATACAATAGATGAAGGCAGATAAAAAGTTCAGTAAGTATGTTACTTGTTAGAGGTGATACATGTCAGACAGGACAGGTGAACCCACAGCCATGTGAGTTGGTTATTTGTGTGTCCCCGGTGAGAACCTCTTCCTCCTCATTGGCCTACTTCTACACAGGCTCCTCCCCCCTTCAGCCTATCATGAATGCAGCTGCTAGACTCATCCACCTAACCAACTGCTCAGTGTCTGCAACCTCCCTCTGCCGATCGGTCCACTGGGCTCCATCCCCCGCCCCCCTCTGCCGATCCGTCCACTGGCTTCCAATAGCCCAAAGGATAAAATTCAAAATATTAATGACTTACAAAGCTGTCCAGAACTCCGCCCCGGCTATATCTCAAACCTTGTCTCAAAGTATCACCCTAACCGTCCCCTCCGCTCTTCCAAAGACCTCCTGCTGTCCTGTTCCCTCATCAACTCCTCCCATGCTCACCTCCGGGACTTCTCTAAAGTCTATCCCATCCTCTGGAACTCTCTACCCCGACCTGTCCATCTAGAATGTGCTGCAGGCACTGTGTGAGGGCCCTCTCCTCTCCTACGAAGCTCAAGGGAGCCAAAAATGACACTCACAATTAAGTATCACTTAAAATCTCAGTGTATTAATTTGACAAACAGTTGTATATATTAGGACAGTGTACTGCGGAAATGCTATAAGCAAGCACGAGTCATCATTTTACAGATTATGTTTCACCCTAACCGCCCCCTCCGCTCTACCAAAGACCTGCTGCTGTCCTGTTCCCTCATCAACTCCTCCCATGCTCACCTCCGGGACTTCTCTAAAGTCTCTCCCGTCCTCTGGAACTCTCTACCCCGACCTGTCCATCTATCTCCCACTCTGACTCCCTTTAGGCGATCCCTTAAAGTGGCATTAAACCCTCAGATGTTTTAACATAAAACAATACTGTAATGTGCGCCTTACTGTAATCCATGGTAGTTTCCCTTCTCTTTGCTGCTCTTCCTTTTAAATCCTCATGTCTTCTCATGCTGGGGGTGAACTTCCCATTGCAGCTGAGTGCCTCTTCCTGTAGTGCTGGCTCAGGTTGTGAACCTGCACACAGACACCATGTATCCATTCCAGAGACAAGGCAGTCTGCTGCAAAACTCGGAGCTGTGCAAAAAGTAAAAGCGTTAAAGTTCATCTTTACAGTCGTTAGTCAGTGTGAGAAATAATAAATCCTCAAGCCCGGCTCTTAGTAGAAATGGGGATGGGGATATGATGGGGATGGGATGGGGATGGGATGGGGATGGGATGGGATGGGGATGGGATGGGGGATGGGGATAGTGTAAATAAGATTTTATTCCAAGCCCTCCCTTTGTGGTCAAGGTCTGAAGAGTTGCGGGATTCAGAGGCCTCCTAGTGGTGGGACCACCTTGTATGTTTGCAGCTGAGACCTCAGCCTTGGACTAGATTTTAGAGGTAGGTTTCTATATATATTCTTATTATTGAGGTGAGTAATGAATGTAAGCTAAGGAATACACACCGATCAGCCATAACATTCTGACCACTGCTAAAGACCTCCGGGACTTCTCTAAAGTCTCTCTAGTCCTCTGGAACTCTCTACCCCAACCTGTCCATCTATCTCCCACTCTGACTCCCTTTAGGCGATCCCTTAAGACTCATCTCTTCAGGGAAGCCTATCCCACCTCAACCTAACCACTCAACCACTGGCGGAACTACCAGGGTCGTATCGGTCGCAACTTGGGGGGGGGCCAGCGAGGAAGAAGAGGGCCCCCCACCCCCGAGATCGTGCCGCTCCCTCCCTGCCGCACAGCCACCCGCAGCATGTACTGGTAGCTGTGCGGCAGGGATGGAGAGGCTGTCACTGGTCCCGCAGAATGTGCTGCAGGCACTGTGTGAGGGCCCTCTCCTACTCCTACGAAGCTCCGGGAGCCAAAAATGACACTCACAATGAAGTATCACTTAAAATCTCAGTGTATTAATTTGACAAACAGTTGTATATATTAGGACAGTGTACTGCGGAAATGCTATAAGCAAGCACGAGTCATCATTTTACAGATAATGTTTCTTTGCTAACTTGCGGTTTCAATATACTATACTCTATATAGAAAAGGTGTAAAGTACAATAAAGAAAAATAGGAAGTTAAGAATGGAAATGTACTGAATACAGTTTAAAACTGTCTATGCACAATTCAAAGAGGACCTGTCTTGTATTATCATCCTTTCACAGCATGCCTTTTGATTGTGGGAGGAAACTGCAACACCCAGAGGAAGCAAATTTTGCAGATAGTGTTCTGACCTAGGATTTGAACTAGGGACCCCCCGTGCTGCAAGGCAGAAGTGCTAACCACTACACCACTGCTCTGCCCTATGTATGGATTTTGAAGAGGGAACAAGAAGAGGGAAGAGTAGGGAAGAGTAGGGAAGAGTAGGGAAAAGAGGTAAGAGCGGAGAGAAGGAAGGGTGGACAAAAGATGCAAAGAGGTAAAGGAGATAAAGAGGAGGGAGGTAAGGATGGACAAGAGGAAAAGGGGTAAGAGAAAGTAGAAGAAAGAATGTAAGCATACAAATGAGGAAGGGGAGGTAGGAGGGGGGATGGAAAGAAGTAAGGAAGGAGATGAGGGAAGGGTAGGGTGGGGTGGAGCGAGGATGGAACAAGGTAATGAAGAAGAGAAGGGAAGGGTAGGGTGGAGAAGATGGAAAGACTTAAGGAAGGAGATGAGGGAAGGGTAGTTAGAGGATTAAAGAGGTACATTTATGAGGAGGAATGTAGATAAGGGAAAGGGGGAAGACATATATGGGGTGGGGGGTGGGGTAGATGCATACACTACTGTTCTACTCATTTTTGCGTGCTGCTACAATCGACATTCCCTTATAATCAGTGAGATCGCTCTTTTAACACCTCGCAGTGAGTGACAGTGAACCCTTCTTTGGTGACAGCGTTTTTCACAAAATTCTCATCATGTTGGAAGACATGCATGGTGTCCTCCCCCACTTTATAATATGTCCCATTTACAGTGGCGATCACTAGCAGGAGTCCTCCGGGCTTCACAAACTTCATCATTTTCCTCAGGGTTGTCATGTATTCATCTTCATTGGTGCTGGTGGAATCCAGAATCCACATCGTGATCACACAGTCGGCTTGCGGTAACACTATCGGATCTGTCGGATTTTCCTTTGTGATGTCAAACTTCAAAATCTCTTTAATGGCCGACCTCAGCTGCATTTCTTTCTCTTGCCAATCATCGCTGCAAAAGAAATGTTACAAAGGTAACAAAGTACATAAAATGTGATGTCCTCAGGCAGGGCCGGATTTACTCTCTCTACTTCCCCAAGGCCAGATTCCTTAATGCGCCCCCCTACCCGGCAAACACCCCTCCCCATGGAGAATGGCAGACCTGCAGGCTGCATACAAGTGATCTTGGCGACATCACTGAGACCACTTGTACCAAACAAGTGGCGGCTTCCCCGCTGTATATTTAGCTCTGCTTGCCCAAACCTCGGGCTTAGTGTAGAAAACAACTACCCGCGCGGCTCACGGAAATGCATCGGGGGATAGGAATTCCACGACCCTGCTGCCCTTCTACTCTTGGTTGGCCTTGTGGGAAATCCAGCCCTGTCCTCGGTAGGGTTGTCCCTCCTTGCTCTAATGTTCCTCTAGGTGTACCAAGCATGCTTAGCAAAATATATATAATTGATAAGTCAAGACTAGTGCTTGCCAACCAAGGGGCCACACTTCATATTCTGTATATGTAATGCAACAGAGGGCTGTCAGAGACTGCAGAGTTACTAGAGGAACCGGTCGGGGATGGTGCACATGTTACAGGTATGATTGGAGACATGCTGTAGGAGTACAGAGGCTGGAAACATGTTACACAAGACTGCTAGAGCCCACTGCTATCACAGCCCTTTTGTAAATTACTACTGACTGCCA